CCGGGATCAAGTCCCACATCAGGCTCCCTGCTCAGCAGGGAGTCTGCTTCTCCCTCTCACCCTCCCCCCTCTCATGTGCTCTCTCTCCGTCTCTCATTGTCGCTCTCTCAAATAAATAAATAAATAAAATCTTTAAAAAAAAAAAAAAAAAATAAAAATTAAAAAAAAAAAGATTTCTTTTTTCAGTAATCTCTACACCCAACGTGGGGCTCAAATTCACAACCCCGAGATCAAGAGTTGCACACTCCACCGACTGAGTCTCCAGCCAGGTGCCCCCACTGGATTATTTTAAAGCAATCCCAGACATCCTTAGCATTTCCTCCAAAAATACTTGCAGGGTGTATCTCTAAAAGATAAGGTTCTCTCTCCCTCTCTCCCCTTTTTAGCAAAACCACAATACCATTGTCATACTTGAATGTTCATTTGATCTGTCATTTTGGATATTCCGGCTAGACAGTCCCGCGGGCTGCAGACAGGGCGGAGGGTGGATTCTTTTGGGTGGAGGCAGCCCCTTTTGGCCCTCACCCTCCCCACTCCCTTCAGACCCTCCCAACCCACAGCTCTCCCTTCAGGTCCCCCCCACAACACACACACACGCACGCACGCACGCACGCACGCACGCACGTGCCCCCTGCTTGCCTGACCCTATTTCTTTTCAAAGGCTGCTAGGCGTGTCTCCCACCCAGGTAGCCTGGTGTTTTGATTCTTAAAGCCTTTTATTTTGTTGGTGTGTTTAACCCTGAAAACTGGCCCCGGTCCAACTTTTCTTAAGGTCTTGATTATATCTGTGGCTTCAGTTGGAGGAATTACTTCTTGTGGGCAAAGGCCTGTGGGTTCTATGGCTCTTTTGTTTATTACTGGATGCATTGTTGACCCCCCCAGAAGCTGGGTTGCGGGGAGAGCCTGGAGGGTTTTACACTGACACCCCAGCTTCTCCCCTGCCCTAGGAAAAATAGGCATTCCAGGGAGGGCTGAATCACACCTTAAGAAAGGGCTGGGTTATCCCCAACTGCCTCTGGGAGTAGGCCTCTGTCCAGATACATCCCCACCCTTCTGAGAGCAAGGTTTAACTAGTTACCTGCTCCCTCCGACCTTCCCTCCATACAAAGGGCCTATTCGCTGTCAAGTTTCTTTTCCTGGGATCAAAATACAGCCAGTGGCCTCTGGACAGGAGAGGTAGGGGCATGGAAACCAAGCTGGTGACCCTTTAATGCCCTTGGAATTAATCGCACAGCCTACCTCCCAACACCTCAATGTTCCAGAGTTTCTACTTCTGCAAACTGGCCGGGCAGGTATCCCCCCACCCAACCTCCCAAACACACCTCCAGTGGAGAGAAGCACCAGTACGCCCCCCAACAGGGGAGCCCAACCCTCCCCATCCCCACCAGAGCCACCTCCCTAATTTATGGCAAATAATTTCTCAAGCCACCTTTACTCTTTTGAAATGAAATACTTAGATAATTAAACCTACTTCCACAGATAATTCTTAAAATGTTCATAAAATAACCCTAACTATAACATAAAGGTGAGATAAAAGGAGAGACATAATTTTCAAAATCCCCTGGGAACTTGTTCCCCGGGCAGACCTGATGATTCAGAATCCGCGTTTTTTGTTTTTTGTTTTTTTAAAGATTTTTTTTTTTTATTTATTTACTTGAGAGAGAGAGAATGAGAGAGAGAGCACATGAGAGGGGGGAGGGTCAGAGGGAGAAGCAGACTCCCTGCCGAGCAGGGAGCCCGATGTGGGACTCGATCCCGAGACTCCAGGATCATGACCCGAGCCAAAGGCAGTCGCTTAACCAACTGAGCCACCGAGGCGCCCCGGGAATCCGCGTTTTTTTTTAAAAATCTCCCTGGGGACTTTGACGTAGCCCCAGGATACTCCTCCCTCCCTGTGAGCTCCCTGGAGCTCCATAAAACCCACAGCGGGCTGGGGCGCCTGGGTGGCTCAGTCGTTAAGCGTCTGCCTTCGGCTCAGGTCATGATCCCAGGGTCCTGGGATCGAGTCCCGCATCGGGCCCTCCGCTCCGCGGGAAGCCTGCTTCTCCCTCTCCCACTCTCCTTGCTTGTGTTCCCACTCTGGCTATCTCTCTCTCTATCAAATAAATAAATAAAATCTTAAAAAAAAAAACCCACAGCGGGCACTGCCTAGATGAAGAGATTTTCTGGTTTTGTGAATTGGAAAATAAACCAGTCAAGTCCCCACCAAGCCAAGCACAATCTTCCAGTTGACCCAGTAGCTGCATCCCCTGGACAATTCCGCGTTAACCCACTTTACATTGACATGCAGAATGGAATTGGGTTCTAGGCTCAGATTAACAGGCTTTCTTCCTCCTACACGAGAATGCACAGGACACCAATTATGAGAAGAAAGGAATCCAGGACAGTTCTCTACTGAGTGGCATTGTCTTGTGCATGGCTTCCCAGCAACACCCTCTCCCCATTCCCATGGCACCAAAATGCCCCCATAACCTTCCCAAAGGGCTCCTAGGGTGCTTGGCACACCACCCCCCTCCTGGGAGCCATTATTCTGTTCATCACCTTCTAGGTGGTAGGCACTTCTTGACCCCATTTATATTTGTTTGTTTTAAAGATTTTATTTATTTATTTGAGAAAGAGAGAGAGCCAGGGAGAGCCGAGCAGGAGGGAGGGGCAGAGAGAGAGGCAGACTCCCCTCGGGGGCTCGATCACCATCACGATCATGGGACCCTGAGATCATGACCCGAGCCTGAGGCAGACGCTTAACGACTGAGCCACCCAGGTGCCCCTAAGATTTTATTTTTAAATAATCTCTACGTGCACTGTGGGTCTCAAACTCACAACCCTGAGATCAAGAGTCACATGCTCCACCAACTGAGCCAGCCAGGCGCCCCATTTGTTTTTCTTTTTATCAGGATACAGCTTGGGCCCTCATTCCAGGAGTTCACAGAGATTGCCTCTGAGAAGAATTAAGAAGTGGGAAGGAATCTGACTTGTCAGTGTTGCCTTCTTATCCTACTTTCGGTTCTTAAACTTTTTTTTTAAGATTTTATTTATTTATTTAACAGAAACGGACACAGCGAGAGAGGGAACACAAGCAGGGGGAGTGGGAGAGGGAGAAGCAGGCTTCCCGCTGGGCAGGGAGCCTGACCTGGGGCTGGATCCCAGGACCCCGGGATCATGACCTGAGCCGAAGGCAGATGCTTAACGGACTGAGCCACCCAGTCGCCCCTTAAACTTTTTTAACCTTAAAAAAAAAACAAAAAACTTTTTTGAACTCATATACTTGGGTCATAACCAATTTTCATAACTTCATTATCAAAAAGATTTCCACAGCTGACCTATTACGTGAAAAAAATAATTTTCGTTATGGACAGAAGGGTGTAATATCTAAGATTTGCTTCAAATTTTTAGCGGGGAGCAAGTGGGTGGGAGAGGGGATGAAACCCGACTGGCCAGGAGGTAATCGTGGACCTGGGTGCTCCTTACACTGTTCCACTTTTGGACAGGTTTGAAAACGTCAAAAGTTCGTTGAAAACGTATGTGTTGAAAAGAAATAGGCTAGTGTAATAGTCAATCTATCTTTCAGAATTAAGGTCTCCCACCCAGACTGCTTGTGCCCTATTCCCCTTCCTAGTCTATTCCTCCATAGCATCAATTACCTTCTAACGCACTATGTAATTTACATGTCATGTCTCTTGTTCATCACGGCCCATGTGCATTGTCGTCTGGTTTAATGCTCTAATAATAAAACGGCTTCATTCTTTCCTGTTTACAGAGAGGTTTTCCGGGGTTGGCAGGAGGTTTTTATTTTTAATTATTTGCCCAACACTCTATAATTTGCTTATTATGTCTTCTGTTCATCATCTAAGTTCCACATGGACAAGGATCCATGTCTGGTTTTATTTGCTGATATTTATAATTACATGTGTGGCTTACATTTTGTTTTTACTGGATAGAGTTAGTATAGAGGTTAAGAGCAGAGATTCTAGAGCCAGCCCGGCTGGGTTCAAATCAAAGCTCTGTCATCTACTAGCCTGGTGACTCTGGGCAAGTCATTTGGCCTCTGCCGGCCTCGGTTTTCTCACCTGTGAAGGGGACACATAGCGGTACCCGCCTCAGGGGGTCGCCACCCTGACTGGTAGGAAGACGTTCTGTAAACGGTGGCCCGTGTTATTTCTGGTTAGAGCACTCATTTTTGGAGTCAAATAGATACGCCTTTGGCGCCTACCCCACCTGTTTTCTCCCGTGAAACGGGGATAACGTTGCCCCACCATAAAGGCGATGGGGATTTTTTAAAGGAGTGAACGGGTGTGAGGCCTCCCGCCGGGATGCCTGACCAAAATAACTGCAGTTGTTCCTCGCCAGGCGTCCTGCGGCGGAGTTACCCGCACTCCAAGAGGCGGGCGGGTGCAGACAGACCCCGGATCCCGGCGGCCCCGCCCCTCCCTCGTCTGCGGCGTCAGGTCCGGTTCGATAGTCCTCCCCCACACCCCCCACCGTGGGAATACCCGGGAAGGAGGGGGTCTGGCGAGTACGGATGGTGCGGGAAGGGGCTGGCTGGGGGCCGGGGTGGGGCCGCTGGGCAGCCAGAGGGAAGAGAGCGCAGAGACCCGCCGACCAGAGGGAGGTTGGGGTAGGGGCTGGGAAATGCTGGCTGTTAAAAAGGGAGGGCCTGACGAGTAAAAGGATGGACGCTGGGAGGGGGACGCAAGGGGACAGAAGAGAGCCCGCCGGAGAGAGGCCCTGGCTCTGATCCAAGGTAGGACTCGGGGGGGCTGGCCGGCCCCGGCGGGAGCGCGCAGGGCCGGGTGCGCGGGGCGGGATGGATCGGTTGCAGGGCCAGACGGGTTGGGAAGCTGGGGGCTTGGGACCCGGGGCCGGAGCCGGGGCGGGGTCGGGGCGGGGCCGGCGGCAGCTGCGCGCGCGCCGCGGAGGCTGCAGGCCCCTGACTCCTTGACCTTACTCTCCCGCAGTCACCACCGAACCTGGCGCGGGCTGGCGGGGGGTCGGCGGGGACCATGGGTGCCTCGGCCTCCCGGGGCCGGCCCGCCCGGGTCCCCGCGCCGGAGCCCGAACCCGAGGAGGCGCTGGACCTGAGCCAACTGCCACCGGAGCTGCTCCTGGTGGTGCTGAGCCACGTGCCCCCGCGCACCCTGCTGGGGTGCTGCCGCCGGGTGTGCCGGGGCTGGCGCGCCCTGGTGGACTGCCAGGCCCTGTGGCTGCTCATCCTGGCCCGGGACCACGGCGTCTTGCTGCCGCTCGCCCGCAGCTGCCTGCCCCCAGCCCGCGACGGCATGCCCAGCCTCCTGGGCCGCTTCTGCGAGCGCCGCCCGATCGGACGCAACCTCATCCGCAACCCTTGCGGCCAGGGTGGGGAAGCGCGGGGCCGGGGGGCGGGGCCGGGGGCGGGGCTTCATCGGAGCCGGTGGGAACTGGCGGCCGGCGGGTGGGCGGGCGAGGAACTTGGGCGCAAGCCTCTTGTATTTGACAGAAGGCCTCCGGAAATGGATGGTGCAGCACGGTGGGGACGGCTGGGTGGTGGAGGGAAACAGGTCAACGGTGCCCGGGGCCCCCTCGCAGACCTGCTTCGTGTCTTCCTTCAGGTGAATGCCCTACCCCGCAAGGGCCGGGCCCGTTATGAGGAAGAGCTGCCGGTTCTCATTGACCTTTCTCCCTCTTTCCTAGCTGGTGTCGCAAAAAGCAGGTGTTGGACCTGGAGGAGGAGGGTTTGTGGCCAGAGCTGCTAGATAGTGGCAAGATTGAGATTTGTGTCTCTGATTGGTGAGTATGATGACAAAAACAGCCCTCTGCTCAGCACTGCCCACAGGCGCCATGACCATTGCGTGGGTGACTTCACTGAGGCTGCCTCTAACAATCCCTTACAGATAAAGAGATGCAGCTCAGGAAGGTGAATGACTTAACCATTGAGCCCCTTTCCTCACCCCCAAATGGAGCCGGATTGCAAGATGCCAGATTGGATCCAGTTACAGAAGGACTTGGCCCAGCTCAGTCTTGTCTGTGAATGACATGCTCCTTTTCTTAGGAGGACGCAGTGTAGGATAGTTGCCTAAGTTGACATTCTGGAGCCAGACTTTTCCACGTCTCTGGCTCGGCATCTTTATGGCTTTGGGCAAGTCCCAGTGTGCCTCGGTTTCCTCATCTTTACAAGATAGGGTTACATGTCAAACACATAGCCAGTGCTTTATAAGGGGGAAGTGTTTTAGTTGTGTTTTTTTGGGTTTTGTTTTTTGTTTTTGTTTTTCTGAGCCTTGATCCTCTGAGAATGTATATTTCAAGACCTCAGATTTTTCAGAGCTTTGGGAGCAATCGAGAGGTTCAGAAAGGGGAGGAGATTTGCTCTGGTGGCACAGCTAGGGATTGGGGAGACCTGAAATTAGGCTCAGACTCCTCTGTAGAGCTTACGCTCTGTAGTGATGGTCTTGAAACTAGGGTATGTGTACACGAAGACTTTCCAAGGGATATGTGACCCAGATCATTTCAAAGGAGGCAATTCCAGATCCTCTACAGCTGTGTTCCCTGGTTCTAAAATTACCAGCTACATATCATATCTCTGGTGGTAACATCATATGGTTTGTTCTTATCCAGGCCCCTTCTCAGAGTCCTCAAGTCTTACAGAAAAAGCAAGCCCCTCACTATGGTGTGTGGCCCCCCAGATGTAAAAACTACCAGAGAGTTAGGCAAAGTGACTGCTTGAAATTTCAGCCTTACCAAATTCACTTTTACTTCGGTTTTTTGTTTTGTTTTTAAGTAGGCTCCATGCCCAACGTGGGGCTTGAACTCATGACCCTGAGATTAAGAGTTGCGTGCTCTACTGACTGACGCAGCCAGGTGCCCCCAAGTTCACTTTTTTTTTAGATTTATTTATTTATTTGAGAGAGGCAGAGGGGAGGGAGGAGAGACAGGTGGAGAGGGAGAGAGAGACCCCCAAGCAGACTCCCAGCGGAGCACAGAGCTGGACGTGGAGCTCAATCCCACAACCCTGAGATCATGACCTGAGCCGAAATCAAGAGTCGGACGCTTAACCAACTGAGCTACCCAGGCACTCCCAAATTCACTTATAACTAAAGACACCCTAACTTACCCCCACTCTGCAAATCCATCTCATTAGGAGATGTGTTTTACAATAAAATTGTTTTTAATTTAGTCATTAGTTATCAAACTGTTGTAACATATTTGTGTTATTTTGGTCAGCGGTGTGCCCTTTGATCGTAACAATTAGTGGTTCCCAAATTTTGCTCTCCATTACGCAAGCACACTGAAAACTCCCAATGCCCAGGTCACACCCCACCCCAGTTAAATCAGAGTGCCTGTGGGTGAGAGCTGAGTCTCAGTATCTGAGAAGTTGAGAGCTGACTGCAAAGTTAGCGGGCACAGTCCCCAAGACCAACCTCACATCGACACCAGCTGTAAGTTTGGGGGATTCGCAAAACCACTCTCACCTTCCATAATTCACTGGGAAGACTCATAGAACTCACTGAACGATTACATGATTACAGTTTATTACAAGGAAAACATAACAAATCAAAAATGAGACAACAGAAGAAGAGCTAGGGCAGCATCAAAACACAAAAGTACCAAACACAGAGCTTCTGTTGCTCTCTTGCCATGGAGTCAGGATGCAATCCTGCCCTGGCAGCCATGTGACAATATGCATGGAATATTGCCGACCGGGGAAGTGCACCTGAGCTTCATTGCCCAGAATTTCTTTTGGGGCTTCATCCCATGGTTAATCTCGGCCTCCTGGTCAACTGATACCACCTGACATATCCTAAGCCACATTGTTGGGTCTTTCTGGAGTGGCTAGCCCCCACGGTGAGACTATCTGTGTGGATGTGGCCACCAACCACTGTAATCCCATTGGTAGGCTATCCGGTATGACCCAAGGTCCCCAGGCAAACAAAGATACTTCCAGCAGCCATATTCCAAGGATCCAGAAAGAACCTCCCAGAAGCTGAGAGCAAAGCCCGCCATACCTCCGGACAAGGCTAAATTCTTTGCTATACAATATCTTGTCAACATCCCAGATGATTCCAGGGGTGCCTGGGTGGCTCAGTCATTAAGCATCTGCCTTCAGCTCAGGTCATGATCCCAGGGTCCTGGGATCGAGCCCCGCATCGGGCTCCCTGCTCACCGGGAAGCCTGCTTCTCCCTCTCCCACTCCCCCTGCTTGTGTTCCTGCTCTTGCGTTCTCTGTCCTGTCAAATAAATAAATAAATAAATTCCAGATGATTCCAATCTGCAGCCAAGTCTGGGAACCACTTCTGGGTAATAATTCAATCCCAAAGGAAAAATGTTAACACTTAGATCTTTATGGTCACAGAAAAAAATTTTAATTTCTGTTCATATACGTATATTTTGGTATGTGGTTGGCAGAGCGCAGTATGGAGGGGCGGTCTTTTGACCAGTCAGAAGAAAATAAGAATATGTCACTATTACATGAGGACAGAATTGTGCAGGAGAAGTAGAGCAGACATCTAATTCTAAGAAGTAGAATGATGAGAAGTCTCTGAAAGAAGAAACTTATTTGTGTATTTTTACAGCCTGTTACCCTTGAGTTAAACTTTTAACTTCTAGCATCAAAAGTGTACATTTTTTAAGTTTACATATTTTATTTATGTATGTATGTATGTATGTATTTATTTAAAGTGAACATATTTTAGGTATGTGACTCTGAATTATCACAGAGTGAACACATCCGTGTTACCAGCTCCTTTCCCATCATTCCCCATCCAGGATAGACGCCATCCTGAATTCTGTTACCACAGATAAGTTCTGTCCATTTTTTTTTTTTTTAAGATTTATTTATTTGACAGAGAGAGAGAGCACAAGCAGGGGGAGAGGGAGAGGGAGAAGCAGGCTCCCCACTGAGCAAGGAGCCTGATGTGGGGCTCAATCCCAGGACCCTGGGATCATGAACTGGGCTGAAGGCAGATGCTTAACCAACTGAGCCACCCAGGCGCCCCAAGTTCTGTCCATTTTTGTACTTGAGAGAGAGAATGAGTCCCACGGTATATGTTTTGTTTCTAGCTTATGAACTGCATGTTTGTAAATTGATTCCTAATTGTGTGTAACTGCAGTGAGTTTGCTTTCATTGCTGTGTACTATTCTATTATGTGCATATACCTTAATTTATCCATTTACCATCGATAGGCAATTGGAAGTTGTTGTGTTTTGTTTTGTTTTTAATATTGCTGGGTATCCCGGGGCGCCTGGGTGGCTCAGTTGGTTAAGCGACTGCCTTCGGCTCAGGTCATGATCCCAGGGTCCTGGGATCGAGCCCCGCATCGGGCTCCCTGCTCGACGGGAAGCCTGCTTCTCCCTCTCCCACTCCCGCTGCTTGTGTTCCCTCTCTCTCTGTCTCTCTCTCTCTCTCTCTGTCAATTAAATAAATAAAATCTTTTAAAAAAAAATATTGCTGGGTATCCCATCATGACTAAATATAGATTCCCGTGGTCCTTTTTTTTTTATTTTATTTTTTAAAGATTTTATTTTTAAGTAATCTCTCTACCCATGTGGGACTCTAATACTCCACCGACTGAGCCAGCCAGGCGCTCCTCCCGTGGTCCTTTTCAATGACTGATATGAAAGTTGTATTTTAAAATGTCAATGTACCCATTGGAAATTACATCTTTTGCCACCGTTTAAACATTGAGCAATTTCCATTGTCACCTGAATAATACTGGAGGAGGTGCCTTGAAGGGTGGCTGCTTCTGGGTCACTGCTTCGAGAATGCATGTGCTTGCGGACCAGCTGGGGACCTCGTTTAATACAGGTTCTGAGTCACTGGGTCTGCAGTGGGGCCAAGCTCCCAGGTGACACAGGTTGTGCTGAGCCGAGGACTATGTTTTGGATTTGCAGACACAGGGAGGCCATTCTGGGGGGGAGGCAGGCAGACACCCAAAGAGATGAGGTGGGCATGTCCAGCCGTCAAGGCCTCCCTCCTCCCACAGGTGGGGAGCCCGACACGACAGTGGCTGTATGTACCGACTCCTTGTCCAACTTCTAGATGCCAACCAGACTGTCCTGGATAAATTCTCTGCTATGCCTGTTCCCATCCAACAGTGGAACAACAATGTCTGCTTTCAGGTGAGTCTCTGGCAGGGACACAGGGAGAGGGGTGGTGGGGCCTGGGAACGTTATCTGTTACCTCTTGGGTTTCTATAAGGAGGGCTCTGCTGGGGATGCTTCTGGTTCCTGTCTCTCGGGTAGTTGCTTTCAGACAATGGCTGGAGCTGAAGAGCTGGGTGGGGTGTGTGGGTGTGTGTGTTTGTGTACATGTGTGTACGTGTGTACGTGTGCATATAGCAGCTGGTGGCTTCATTTAGTCCCAGAGCTTCAGTGTGGGATCTCTCTGTGAGGGCTGGTTTGGATTTCCTTGAATCATGGCCACCCCGGGGCAGCCAGACTCAACTTACTAGTGGCTCAGGATTCCACCAGGAAGGTTCTAGAGAAACCCAAAGAAGCTGCATTGCCTTTTCTGACTTAGCTTTGGAAGTCACTTGGCGGAAGTCACTCAGCATCACTTCCGCCGTGCTCCTGGTTACGAACAAAACCCACCCACCCAGACTCAAGGAGACAGGAATTAGGATGAGGAACCATGTGATTCCACTAAGCCAGAAGGCCCCAGCCTCAGCTTTCGAGAAGAAGGCTGGGGCACAACCTGCCTGATCTCTTCTCTACCTACAGGTCACCCACGTGTTCTCCAACATCAAGATGGGCGTCCGCTTTGTGTCTTTCGAACACTGGGGCCAGGACACACAGTTCTGGGCTGGTCACTATGGAGCCCGTGTGACCAACTCCAGTGTGGTCGTGCGGGCCCGGTTGTCTTAGTTGAGGGCTGTCCTTGCCCAACAACCTGACCAGTGCCTTCCAGGACTGGGGACCACTGGCCAGAACTTCTCATTAGCCAAGGGCATGTACCTCCCTGGCATCCTGGGTACTCCAGGATCCCTTTGAGGGTTCTGCCAGGCCCCCTCTTCAGGTTCTAGAAACTACTAGAAGAAAGTTCTTACTTCAGAGTTACCTATCACTGTTATAGGGCAGTCCTCCCTCCGGAGGCCCTCTGATTCAGCCCCAGTCCCATCTGGCCTGTCTCCTCTCCTTTCTGCTTTCAGGGGGCTTTATCGGTCTCTTTAGAGAAGGCCGCTCATCTCTGAAATAGAACCTTGTCCTTATAGCGGGGAAAATTCCAGCCACCTTGGGTAGCAAACTTAACCCCCTGCAGCTTCAAGGCTGGGAACCAGGTCTCACGGCTGAAAGTCAGCCAGCTCAAAAAATGTGTGGAGACCCTCAAGGAACCCCTGTGACTGTATGGTGTATAAAATTATTTTTTATTTTGAAATTTTGCGCAAACATCAAGAGAATAATATATCAGCAACAACTATCTGCCGATCATATGTAATAAATTTGTTATTTTGCCAAAAGTGCCTCAGATCTTTGAAGTAGGAAATATAACTTTACTGTCTTGGTTACTACTTGGTTTGAACGCAACAAATTGTCCCAGTGGGGGAGAGGAAACTACAGAAGAAAACTCCCAATAGAAGGGACAGTGGGTGTGGGTACAGCATCAGGGTGACACCACACTTGTGACTTTCTAGATGGGAGCCAGGATCAGGCTGTCCTCATGCCAGTCCAGGGTCATAGCTAACTCATGGCTGGTGAGTCAGTGAAATGTTCTAGGTCATCTTTTTTTTTTTTTTAAAGATTTTATTTTTAAGTAATCTTTACACCCAGTGTGGGCTTAACTCACAACCCTGAGATCAAGAGTCGCACACTGTACTGTTGGAGCCAACCAGGTGCCCCTAGATGTTCTAGGTCTTCTGATGTGATGCACCTGAAATGTGCCATTGCCTTTGCTGTATCCCAGGATGAACTGCTCATTGGAGGGGTCAGGCCTTCCTCCCCTTTCTTGCCATAGAAGGGAAACACCAGCAGAGAAGGAGCCAAACACACCCAGAGGTGGCATGTTTTGCCAGTTTCTTAAAAAAGGGATTGTGACAGGTTGAAACAGACATAAGAGTCATGACCAGATGGAGTGTGTGGGCCTTGAGGAGATACTGGTTTGGACAGTTCAGCTCTAGATGGTATTTTTGAGTCAACTGGGAGAATTTGGATATGAGGAATATGGGAAACATCTAGGAAGGGAAAAATGGAGACCACTGCCTTAAAAAAAAAAAGCAGCCATATAATTTAATTTTGGCACATGTTGTATTGTATGTGTGTGTGTGTGTGCGCATGCCAAAGTTAATGATACCACTTTATACACACACGTGTACATACAATTATTTATATCCTGGATTACCTTCTGGGTGTGTGCATAGATATGTATATATATATATTCAGAAGAATAAGAATATTACCTATAGGGGCGCCTGGCTGGCTCAGTCCGTAGAGCATGTGACTCTTGATCTCAGGGTCGTGAGTTCAAGCCCCATGTTGGGCGTGGAGCTTACTTAAAATAAAAAAAGAATATTAACTACAGTGTTACAGGGTTAGTGCAATGGTGATCTCTGGTCATGGTGATTTTGTATTTATTTTGCTTATCTGTATACAAGAGACACAAGAAGACAAATACATAGTATCCTCCAATGCAACTTCCCTCCCCTTCTAGAAAGAACCACATTTCCAAGGCATCTTTGCTGACAGGGTTTTTGCTTGTTTTATTTTGTTACAGAGAATTTGAAATATATACCGAAGCAGAGAGAAGAGTATTCTAACCATGTATCTACTCCCCAGCACCAATTTTATCAGATTATGGCCAGTCTTCAGCCCACATCCCCATCGATTCTCCCCTCTTCCATATTGTTTTTTTTTAATACTTTTTTATTTTGAAACAATCTTAAATGTAACAGAGAAGTTATAGGTATGTCACAAAGCCTTTTCCCCCTGAAACAAATAGGTCATTTTCACCATCACTGCAAAATTCTTTTGTGTGTATTTTCTATATCTGGGGACATTCTCCTGCATAACCACAATACAACCATCCAAATCATGATGGTCACATCAATTCAATAACTGCCCCAAAGGTCTAAGCTAGCTGGCCTTGCCTTAGAAAGGCCTGTTGGCAAGGCGACTGGGTGGCTCAGTCGGTTAAGCATCTGACTCTTTATTTTGGCTCAGGTCATGATCCCAGGGTCATGAGATCGAGCTCTGTGCTGGGCATGGAGCCTGCTTAAGATTCTCTCTCTTCCCCTCCCCTCTTCCCACCTCTCTCTCTTAGAAAGAAAGAACGACAGGGAGGGAGGGAGGAAGGAAGGATGGAAGGAAGGAAGGAAGGAAGGAAGGAAGGAAGGAAGGACCTATTTGCTTTGCTGGGTGGCTCAGTCAGTTGGGCATCTGCCTTCGGCTCAGGTCATGATCCTAGGGTCTGGGATCGAGCCCCATGTCGGGCTCTCTGCTCAGTGGGGAGCCTGCCTCTCCCTCTGCCTGCCGCTCCCCCTGTTTGTGCTCTCTCTCTCTCTCTCTCCGTGTCAAATAAATAAATAAAATCTTAAAAAAAAAAAAAAAAAGGCCTGTTTGCAAACTTGGCCCTTAGCTGGCATCTGGGAACTTGAATTTTGGAAGTGTTCCCACCATTACCTAACTGATAAGGGTGGCTCTTGGTGCTTAGACTATTTGTGCAAACAGTATGGTTTATGCTGAACACTTGCTGTCATTCTGGGAGCCTGGGATTTTGGTACAAGCCAGGCAGAAAGAAGGTGTCTCTAGGACTAACCCCCCAGTGAAACCCTGGGGTGCTGAGTCTGTGATGAGCTCCCCTGGGCATCACACACCTGCTGCTACATTTTTGTTGCTGGGTCAAGACTACACTCTGCATGACCCCTCAGGGGAGGGAGAGGACCCAAGGAACCTGCACATAACCCTCCAGTGTCTGTATCTTTTTACCTTATGATCCAGCTGTGCATACAACCGCACCACTGTACTCAGGGGTGAGTACAACTATGTACTGAGTTTCATGAGTCCTTCTGGCAAATATCTGAGCATGGGGTAGTCCTGAGATTATACACACAGACACACACACACACAGACACACACAGATACACACACACACACGTTGGTTTGTTTTCTATATATTATGACATTTTGAGAGCTTAAAAGGCCTCTTTGGGGTGCCTGGGTGACTTGGTCACCCAGACCTAACCGTAGGCCTCTGCCTTTGGCTCAGGTCCTGATCCCAGCGTTCTGGGATAGAGCCCCATGTCGGGCTCCCTGCTCAGTGGGAAGCCTGCTTCTCCCTCTACCCTTACCCACTGCTCATGATCTCTTTCCCTCTCAAATAAATAAATCTTAAAAAAAAAAAAAAAGACCTTTTTGCGGGGGGGAGACATTGTGCCTCCTAGCCAATTCTTAGAGACAGCAAAGAACCCAGCCTGAGAATGCCTTTGATACGCAAACAAACCAATCCAGAGCCAGACTTCCTCCAACCTTCCTCAGCCTCATCGCCCAAGGGCCAGGTGCCACGCAACTAGGGACCACCCCTACTGAAATCACACACACTGACCAGTCCTAAATGGTTCACCCTGCCCTGCCTTTCCAGAGGAACCCCAATAAAGGCCGTGGCTTAAACCTTCCTCTAGGTCCTGCCTCCTGCCTCCTGGCTACGCTGTCTTTCCCATGGGGCTCTGCACGGCACCCCTCCTGTCTCCCGGACCCCTGAGTGTAATAAACCGATTTCCCGAGCCTCTCCTCCGTCTCCCCTTGTGCCTGCACCCAACACACCATCTCGTGAAAGAATACAAAACAATAAAATGTTGTATGCTTGTAATAGACACTAGAGAGATCATCCGGATCAGGGAGAGGTACTGCAAAAACAAGGGGTGTGCGTGTGTGTGCATGTTTGCGTGTGTGTGTATGTGCGTACGTGTGACACTCTTGTTTTTGCAGTCAATGGGGGTATTGGAAACAAGCACAAGGCTCTGTAAATAATGATTTTTGCTATAATTTTGGCCTGTTGGAGCCTTTGGAGAAAAGGAGGCGAGATGCAGAGAGGCCACCTTCAATCTATAGGTAAATGCCCCTTTGGAGTTTTGAAACAGTTTTAACTTGCTAATGAAGATCAAATGCCTGACCCTCAGTGGCTGTTGATTTTCCAGCCTGGTGTGCCAACACACGCACACGCACACAAACACGCACGAGTGTGCGCGCACGCACATAGATTGTGGGTCAGCAAAAATCTTTATTTTACCGTCAGTTTGATTGTTAGTTTTTTTTTTTTTAAGAGAAAGCACTTTTTTTTTTTTAAAGATTTTTATTTATTTATTTGTCAGAGAGAGAGCACAAGCAGGGGGACCAGTAGAGGGAGAGGGAGAAGCAGGCTCCTCACTGAGCAAGGAGCCTGACGTGGGACTTGAACCCAGGACCCTGGGATCATGACCCGAGCCGAAGGCAGACGCTTAACGACTGAGCCACCCAGGCGTCCCGATTGTTAGTTTTTTTAAATAGATCGTTTTTTAAAGAGCAGTTTGAGGTTCATGGTGAAATTGAGCAGGAAGTGCAGATCCAGTATATTCCTCTCCCCACACGCAGAGGAAGCCTCCCCCACTACCCACCAGAGAGGGACATTTGTCAATCCCTGAACGTACATCAACACATTATTTATGACCCAGAGTCCATTGTTCACATTAGGGCTCACTCTTGGTGTCATACATGGTATGGGTTAGGACAAATGTATGATAACATGTATCCACCATTATAGTATCACATGGAATAGTTTCACTGCCCTAAAATCCTGTTCTGCCTGTTCATCCCCTCCCCCCTCCTCCCCGACCTCTGGCAACCGCTGATTCTTTTACTGTCCCCATAGTTTTGCCTTCCAGAATGTCATAGCTGGA